ACAGTAACATATAAATAGCTTTATCTCGTACATCGCTTTTTATATCAGCAGTAGCTTACGTGCTTAATACTGCTGGGCGTTATTGATCGTTATCACAGTAACATACGGTAACCTCGGGTTATATCGTCGGCTCGCCCGGTTTGATACCCACATGGTTCCTATGTGTGAATCTCAGTTATTGATAATTGTACCAGTTATCAAATGACAACATCAAATGCCTTTGCTATTACATAGTTTCCAGAAACAGACCTGGTAGGTTTAGTCACTACAACATCGAGTGTCAGATATACTCTCGTCACTTTATGCACAAGAAAGCGGGTCTCTTGGGTAATAACTGAGCCGGGAGAGACGTTTGAACCGACAGGTCTCCCGGAATAGATTTTTGAGATGTCCCCCGCCATGACTGGCTGTTCCGTTTCTGTGGTTTCACCCGCCGTGACAGATAACAACTTTTGCGTTTTCAATGATGATAGTTTCTTAAACAACTTTTGGGTGGAGTCCCGAAAAATTTTCAAATATATGAAAGCTGTTGGGTATTAGTAAATGATAAACATGATATATTTATATGGCAAGTTTGTACAATGATAAAATTTACAATTCATCGGTCTGCGTTTCTGACTCAAACGGACTGTAAATGCTCGTCAGTTTCTGGCCCCAACTTACTAGACGACTCAGAAACGCGTATGATATGTACAATATACAAATATACAATTGATCCATTTACCCGTTATCGACCCGCATGAAACGGTGTCTGAAAGAAATGTTAAAACGGTCATATTGGGGAAGAATGTGAGAGAATTAGGAGCAAATTAACCCGTATAAACAACGTAACCATATATCTTCGTTATTGCTTGTTGCACTTGTAAAACGATGATATCATCGTGTTAGCAGCGCCAGAGTGAGTGAAGTTAAAACCCTAACGTCAACTCAGCTTATTATCAGTTCTGTCGGGACGCGGCCAAGTTCATCATATGCACAAGACCATTGTCAACAAAATGTCACACTCGTCAGCAATTTCGATATATACCTTCCACCGCTACTCTATTTGTATATGCATGCGTGTGGACATTTGAGGATTTTATCCTTCCAGGCATAACGGCATGAAATCACTGTATTTTATGTATGCTTCTATGTAAGTTTTGGTTAACACAAGATGTTTGAGACATTCTGTCAAGAAATTGCTCTTTAGAACGTGTGATCTTTACAATGAGTGAGTCTGATCAATTGAAGATGAACTCTTCATATATTGTTCGCATAGGACGAATCGGACCCAGGCCTTCGACGAAACTACCGATCGCGGTAACACTGGGTCATCTCGATGTCTCTGTTATGACGGCTAAACAGGACTGTCTGAAGTAACGTAGAGTAATGAGTAGTGAGTTAAGTTTTACGCCGCACTCAGCAATATTCCAGCTATATGGCGGCGGGTCTGTAAATAATTGAGTCTGGACCAGACAGTCCAGTGATCAACATCATGAGTATCGATCTACGCAAATGGGATACGATGACATGTCAACCAAGTCAGCGAGCCTGACCACCCGATTCCTTTAGGCGCCTCTTACGACAAGCATGGGTTATTGAAGATCAATTCTAACCCGGATCCTTCACGGGTCATAGTGTAATGAGAGACAAAGATAAAGGGTATTGAAAAATCTGATATCTGAGTGTTGGGTTATGTGAATAACACATTTATTATATTCCCTGAGGTGATCGTTTTATACACATTTTCTCCTCTCACCACGTCGACAAACATAATATATGATATATTTTGGATTACATACTGCAGCACAGTAGCCTGGAATAGAAACCGACTGAGCCTATACTTATATATACGTATAACAGGAAGAACTGTCATTTATAAATTTCAACATACCCATACGGCCGGGTAGCCCAGTGGTTAAAGCCCATTTCTGGTTTCCTCGCCGTGATATTACTGGAAACTCACTCACTCACCCACTCACTCACCCACTCACTCACCCACCCACTCCGTCTCGTCCACTCGTCCACCCACCAATCACTCACTCACCTTCCCACGCTTGCACTCACTTATCCTGTTCTATTTTCAGTGTGGCAGTCAATGTGGTAACAAGGCTGTGAAGTCGACATGGCGAAATGATACACAGGAAAACATTCGCCCCAGTTGTGTAAAGGTTCTATAAATGTCTCCCCTTTGTACATGATAAGCGCGTTGCGGGTCTGTACACCTCTGATTAAATATACAACACAAACAATGCACTCCAGGCACGAGCGAACGTGTTATCAGGGAAGGATATACATGAACGTTAAAGTTTCCTGGTCAACCTGAATGGCAGGTTAGCAGGTATCTAATGACATCAGATATTGACAACATATATTTTGTTCATACAAATTCACACACTTTACAATCATTTATTATTACACGAAAATACACAGTGACAAAGAGACAAATGTACAACACAAATAATGCACAAAGTGAAATCTCTGTATTCTCACGGTTTTAGGTTTATTTTGAAACATTTAGTTCAATATCGTAATTTCTGCCTTTTAACCCATCACGAATAAATGGTGCGGATGGTTCATATAGTGACAAGCACGTAATTGTGAATCCATTTGCACCGAATACTCATTAAGTGAGTGAGTGAGTATGGTTCTAGACCGCTTTTAGCGATATTCCAGCAATATCACCAGAAATGATGTTCACACATTGTACCCATTCTGGGAATGAACCCAGGTCTTCAGCATAAAGAGCGGACACTTTAACCATTAGGCTACCACCACACGCACGCACGCACGCACACACCACCACCACAAATATTAAGTGATTTTTCCTAAACTGTAAAACGCGCGTACGTTTGTCAGAATAATTTTTAATTAGAATATTACCGGTATTACGACATGCCAGGGGAACACATGTTCATGCGGACGAATGAAACAGTCATTAAGTCAGCACTCCATGCGAATACTTCCGTCATAGAGTTGTTGCAGGATCCGATGATCATAAGTTCGAATCCCAGATTCGTACTGATTCACTAATGTGGTAAAATGTCGAAAACCTGAATTACGCCCTGATGTAACCCAACTGTTGTTCAACACGACGTTTAATCCAGTACACTCATTCCCTGCGTGAAACATTATCAACTGTCACTTAGCTCAACCCTTTTCCACATAATATGCAAGGCTCTGTGATCTGCAAATATTGCTCTTTTGTAAAATGATATTGGCTTTACGAGGAAGTAGGACAGATAATACTGTCAACAAAGAGACAAATACACAGGGCGGGGCTGCATCCAGAACGATTATGCCAATATTTTATTTGATTCAGACATTCGTACAAACATTTGTATGTGCTATTTAGATAGGATTTCAAGTGTCGATGGGTTAGGTTTTGGTGTACATACATCGAACCACCTTGTATCCTTTCTGCCCAGTATTTAACAAGAGTAAGTTAGGTCTCATGCTTCTGCCATCCCTGATTGGTTTGTTATTTAACGCCGCACTCAGCAATATTCAAGCTATATGGCGGCGGTCTGTAAATAATCGAGTCTGACCAGATAATCCAGTGATCAACATCATGAGCATCGATCTGCACAATTGAGATATTATGACATGAGTCAACCAAGTCAGCGAGCCTGACCACCTGTACCGTTAGTCGGCTCTTACGACAAGCATGGGTCACTGAAGATTAATTCTAACCCGCATCTTCACTGGTTTCCCTGACATAGACGTGACGTAGATATGACCAAACAAACAAGAGTATGGTGCTGTAAAACTAAGATCTGAGAAAACAACGCAATTGTACTGAATCAAAAGGGAATTTCTGAATCTTTATTAGTATACAATGCGAAGGCAGAAAGCCTCGTCTGCAATCAAACATTGAGGAACGATACAAGATTTGATGCATATTATTGAATGAGAATAGCATCCTCAAGTGAATGAGAGGACTCGATATATAAGGCACATGTGATTTTCAGATAACACTTATTTGCATTTTCAAAATGCTGATGATGATAACTTAAAATGTTATCGTAAAACGACATTCAGGTTATTGCAGGGGGTAATGAAAAAATATGAATGCAAACAAGAAAAAACAACAACAATTTTCTGTAACGCAAGTTTACAAAGCAATCATACATGAAACGAGAAAATAAATGAGATTAGTTGCTGGAAAATAAGGCACCCAAGGCACTCACTCATTTTGAAAGAAAATACAACAATCGGTCAAAGACATTATACATTTCTGTGTTTTTTAGCAAACATATATTTCTGTACTTATATACTTAAACCCGTGAAGGTCCGGGTTAAAATTGGTTTGCAGCAACCCATGCTTGTCGTAAGAGGCGACTAACGGGATCGGGTGGTCAGGCTCGCTGACTTGGTTGACACACGCTATTGTATCCAAATTGCGTAGATCGATACTCATGTTGTTGATCCCTGCATTGGCTGGTCCAGACTCGATTATTTACAGACCGCTGCCATATAGCTGGAATATTGTTGAGTGCGGCGTAAAACTTAACTCGCTCACTCACTCACTTATATACTTATTGTTAGAAATATTCTTACTGACACATATATAAGATAATCTCAAAGCATCTGTTACCGATGAATCATTAAAGGTGAAAAGATATTGTTAAATTTCGAGGTCGTTGTCTCCAAGCACGGATGTGTTACATGTAATGAATCATATTATAAACTAACCGTGAGAAGCCAACTTCAGCTGTACGAGACCCTCCACGTAAAGTGGTGACTGATCAGTGAACAGTTCAGTATTAAAACAAGCTTCAGAAAACAAAGTTTACGTATACAACGTATTTTGTGAAACAAAATTGATGAAAAGTAGTAAATGTTATTATGAAAATGTAAGAATATCGTGACCGCTATACAACAACAACTACGTATCTGAACTACTGTGTATGCATAACCATTGTGAAAATGTTTCAGAAATATATTTTGACATACATATAATACCTTTATTATTCCTTGCACATGCTAAAACTTTCTTACCTTCACATGGTCAATTTTTCAGTCAAAGTTTTGGAAGTAGATTTCAAATGTACAGAATTGTGAACAAGGAAGGTATTTCCTGTATGACTGGGATGTTTCTAAAAGATGAAAGTTACATAACAGTGGAAAAGCAATAGTAAACCGAAGGTTGGAACAAAAAACAGTGTTTTATAAAATTTAGATAGAAAACAATAATTTTAATGAATATGGTATTACACCGCGTTTAGCAATATTCCAATATATCGGTGCGTGTGACCAATTTCTCACTTGAATTCCACATGTAAAACTGAACACTGAATGAGCATATAAAGAGAATCGTGGTGTCCATCATTTGGTGGCGAATGTGTTTGTAGACTGCACCTGCTGGCTGGCTAACTCGTACAGGTATCTGTAGTCCTCCTGAATAACAAACAAGAAGATCGAAGAGAATTGTTTGCAATCCATGTCAGCATTTATAATTATTATACCTATCCATAGAAACATGAGAGTATTGATTTTAATGGAACACGAAGCAGTTGATCGAGTCCTTGAATCACGTTTCGCACTGATCTGTGCTTTGTCAAAACCATACGCGTTCTTTACTTACCTTTGCATGGGCATGTGGCTGATGTGATCGACAGGGCAGAATACTTTCAACTGTTCTCGAGTACATGGTATTGTCGTTAATTGATGGTGAATTATTAACATCTCCTTAGGATATATATTGAACAGCATAACAAATTCTGCTTTGAGCAGATATTTGCAGTTTTTGTTTTCAGGAACCTGTTAAAAGTCTATGATATGTTTTAATTCGGGCTTTCTTTCACGTCAAACCTACCGCCATGGTTTAACCCTGACATTGTGTTCAACACCTCCATCTGAACATATAAAGTATGCTCACCACACAGGTGATGGGTTGCCCATTTCTACACTGTATCTCCCTGACTGTCAAGTAGATGTCCACTTCCTTGTCCAGTCTCAGGCTGGTCAGCACATTGACTGCAGCAGCAAAGAGGCTGCACTTCCTGGGATCGTCTCTGGTGTATAGTATATTTGATAACAGTATATTTGATAATAGGCGCAAACATATTCATTGTCTGTAAATCTTTAGATTTCCTGTTGGGGCCACTGGCATGTTTTATATAAAGCCTTGCACCGTCATCAGGCAGATAGTTTATCGAAAACAACCATTTCTGTGTATCAAATGTCCAATAATGAATTATTATTTGTTTTGATTTCATGGTGTCATGCAGAAATAAAAATGGCTACATGCACTGAAGGTGTCAATGTTGCCTGCATATGCTACGGGCACACCATCTACTGACTATGGAATATACCTGAGAAATGAGTCACTTTCACCTGGAAGAGCAGGGTAACCGAGGGACTATGAGCCCTCGACACGTTTGTGTAACGGACCTACATTCAAGAACAGCGACCTACCGACACTGGAGTATGACGGGATGGCGCCCACTGATGTGTTGACGTTCAGCCAGGAGCTCTACGAGCATCAGGAGATTGGTTTTGTCAAAGTGACGTTCTGTAGATGGGGAATGGAAGTTGTAGTTGACAATAGACGTCACACCAGATCCACTGTCCTGTAAACACAGGAACCAAACCAACACATGATCAATCAACCATGTCCTGCGGCGCAAATTATATAAGAGGCTGTGGATTGCCATGACTTAATAACGACAGGCCCGTGTTAAAGGATTTTCCATACCCAACATGTCTGTATCGTCTTTGATTCGATGGTTAGCTTCTTCTCCGTCACTCCTATAGAAACGTCATCGACAGAATTCAAGGTCACGTGAAACTCTCCAAATGTCAACGACGTTCCAACGTCCTTTGGCATGGCATCAGAAGGATCCTAAGGATGAAGGTAGAATCAAATCTACAAGGAGATCCGTAACTCAGAAATGCCCATTAGGCTAACATTCAAACCACTATAATATACCTATTACATGTTATTACATGGCGCAAATGTCATTGCATAGTGGGAAATGTAACATTGATGCGGTCTGTAGCAGATATTTCTGATGACTATGGATAGTGCATTTTTGCATGAAATTGCACAGGGTTTTCAGGGAGAAAGTACACTGGTATTTTATCAGATCGCTCAGACATAACAAATGAACATATTGGTATCGATGGGCAATGAGGTTACCCAATATTTTCATTTCTTATGATATGCCTTGAGACCTAAAATGGACATTACCTGGCTGATGGTGATGGTGGTACTTGAACTGTTCCTGCATATCAGCTGCCAGAGTTCTTCCGGAGAAGGTTCCTTAATCACTCCAATGTTGAGGAAGCCCTTCTTGTTGAAATACGACTGTCGTTGAAAGCAAATAAAATATATTTTATTTATTCATACATTTGGCAGAGTTTGATTTATGTCGTCGAACATTTGCTGTAGATAATATTTATAACAAACAAAACAAAGAAAAGCAAAACAAAATGATTTTAGAAATTACTCGCTCAATACATACCGGCAGAGGTGTTATATTGAAATTGAATAGATCATCACCTACAAAAGAAAACCATGTTAACATATTTCCTCAAGACATACTAGTAGAATATGTGTGAACGAAGGGAATGAAACAATAAACCCCGAAAACTTTGTATGAAAGTCCACACCAACATATTAACATAAACGTTCTTCAAGTAAATTGTCATTCCGTAAGAAGTTACTTTTGATGACACACTTCATACATTTTAGATTTTGACAAATATGTTTACCAAGATAATATTGTGTTAAAGGCTTTAGAAGTTAGCTGCAAGGCATAATGTTTTGTACCATCTTCTTGTGTGGGATCTGGCTTTGCGTCAGACTTCTGGTCTCTCTGGAGCGACATCATAACTTCCAAATTCTGGAAGAAATCAATATCCACATTCAGGACATATTCAAGTAATCATTGAACTTTGATCCAACCGTAAGATACTTTGGTTTCTTAATTGTTTTCTTCACTTAGAGTGCACATAAGTAAATTTGTTTAAAGAATCGTGACGTAACACTATATATTTATCCCAAAGCGTCATCAGAATCACCTCGTATTCCTCCTGGATTACGATGTTGCCTGCTTCCAACATAGCTGGCAGTTCTCTAGCCACTACCGGCGAATCCCTGCTGAAGAGTGCCTCGAGGACAGCCCAGTGGAGGAACTTATACTGTCCCTAGAACAAACACCAACACCAACAATACTACATGTGCCAGGAGAACCATTTATTTATTTAGAAACACCCACAAACATTCGCAATACATTATATACTAATATGGATCAGATGGTTTATGCCAGTGTGTTGGCATACGATATAGAACGTCAGTGCAAAAGAACACCCAGTATTCCCAGAAACCAATTCCATTTAGCATGAAGTACATGGAATGGAAGAATTCGTTTTCATAGTTCCTGTCTGGAGAAGTCATGCCTACTACACCTGTGTCTGCACCATGTTCATCCTCTGGTCCCTCATGTTGAGGACGACGATGAAGAAGTTCACTTTCTCCTCCACAAGCGCCTCATTCATCAAGATGTCAAGACCGATGAAAGTACCTGTCCGACCCACTCCAGCACTAGTGGACAAACAAACGTATTTCTGTACCACTGGTTGTGTTCCTATTTTAGACAAGGTGTTAACCCAACAGCAGTATTACTACTTCTTGTAACGTTTTGCGAAAGCAAACATTTATGGATGTTTACGTTTCGGTGTATATTCTTATTCCTTCACCTCATACTCTTTATTTTGAGGAACAAGACATTTCTGAGATTGTTAACGTTTTTACTCCTTCATCAGGTGTAGGAGTAAGAATATATTCCGAAACGTACATGTGGTGTTCCTCAAAACAGAGAAGGTGACATCCATACATCTTTACCTTGTGTATTACTTCTAAATGCCGTTTAAAGAACTTACTTTTATTTAGATTTGAATATTAACAATATCTGTTCCAATAAAATTTGGTCCTCATGGGTTGAACTGATTATAGAAGCCTAAAGATTCGCCGATACTTCTTGGAACGTATTGCCTGCTTTGTCCGCCTTTTCTCCCACAATTGTCACACTATTATAGGAATCGGGAGATTAGCCTAACTCACCCTATATCTCAACTAATGAGGTTACAAGATGTCCATGTTGTCAAGCATTGTGATGTATTAATAGGATCCTTATTCAGTGAATATTAGAAGGAATTTAAGGACTTTATATAATCAAGTTGAGTCAATTTCTGGTCTTAACAACCAGCACCAAGTCCATATGCATTAACACTACCAACAACCTTGATTGATCAACGTTTATCTTTCACATATTTCAGATAAATTATTTTGGTGTTTTGGAATTTGTCAAACTGCATGCAATTTCTTTTATTTCGACATGGCAAACACATTGTAAAAAGCAAATACGATACAGTGATACCTGCAGTGGACAATTATTGGTCCTGCTTGTCCGTCATTTGGCTTGCTGCATATGTTGACATGTCTCCAGAAATTGACGAGAGAGGGCGCCGTGGGAACTCCATGGTCTGGCCACGAGGTGTAGTGGTACTGGGTCACCTCACGCCGAGTGTCCTCCTGAAAATATGCCACTTATAAAAACTGAAAGACGACTATAGGATAGGTGACGCAATGGCGATAACTCAATCTGTCGTAATCTCTTCAAGGTATTGAACATCTATGAACAGCTGAGTTTATACTAATTTTCTCAGGGGCATCCTGAGTCAGTCGCCGAACGAACTGATAATAATTCATGGTTTGTCGACAGCATACCAGTGTTCTTTGATTTGACCGAAATATTCAAACGTCTCAGACGTACGTCTCTTTAGCATGGGTACCACCCTGGTTATGTCTACACGTGACATTAGACTCTCCCTTACCAGAGAGATTTGGACTTTGACTATCAAACGTACCTTACGGTGATGCAGCGAGAAGATGCGAACTGTGTAGTCTGCACGTTCTATAGATTTCTCCTGTGTCACAGTGATGTTTCCATAACTACCGCGTTCTTCCTTTCCTGGCCAATACATGTGGCACTTGTGCTGAAACGCACCACATAGTATATTACTATGGACTGTATTTATTGAGGGTATCAAATCATAGTAGTTGTAGAATTAATAGCGTGTGGATACGTATCAGAATTGTTTTGATGGCTGTTCTTTGTCGAAACATATTGTTAATTGCCTCTTTCTTGAACGTAACGCATCACAATATAACGGAGATAATTTCTCCACGCACCACGCCATCTTCCAGTAGATTGGTGACCATGACGATCTCCCGAGATCCCTCCTGCCAGACCATACTCCAAAAGTCTACAACCGTCGAGTTCAGGGGACCTGTGGACCATTGTTGGTATGTGAGTGTGTATCGTTATATATCGTTCTCAGCAACATTCCAGTAATACCAAAACGGTGGACACAAGAAATGGTCTTCTGCAAAACCACATGGATATCCAACCGTCTCATCATAATTTACATGAAACTGTATGTCTATACACAACATTTCCAAGTTAAAAGAAACTATGTTTTAGATGACATCCAATGCGTGGGCATACAGGTGTTTGGGTTACACATCGCTCACACATTATTTCAGATTCAAGTAAGAAGCAAGCAAAACCACCAGCATGGGTATGATTCGAGCAATCCCGGGGTTTAGGATCAATCTTGAAGTTGAAACCAGGAACATAAGTCTGTGAGTCTTCAAGGATGCATATTGTAGCGTGTCAGACTGCTGTATCTCCTGTATCCCATGTGATGTGGATGACTAATTATTTTAACTTTGACAACACGTATGGCAAATAGAACTTTATACTTACCTTGCGCAGCTATAAATTTCAGAGGACTTTTAAAGCCCTGAAAAAAACAACATGTATTCTATCAAAGTTCATGAACGATGTTTGTTTGTTGTTTAACGCCGCACTATTCAATATACTATGACAATATTCCATCGAAACGGCGACAGTTTATACATAATCGAGTCTGGGCCAGACAATCCAGTGATCAACAGCATGGGCACTGGAGAACGCAATTGGGATACGATGACATGTGTCAACCAAGTCAGCGAGTCTGACTACCCGATTCAGTGGATTCTAACTGGGATCTTCACGGGTTGTTTATGAAAGCTTGGTTTGAATGGCGGATATATAATACGTATAAACGTAATATAATCATGTTTTCGTTATATCATATTTATGCTCATTGCCTCTCTCTACATACGTGTATGTACGATGCGTTGATATAATCTGCCCCACCTTCGCTCTGTAAGGGCACCCGAGTATCGTCATCTGTTGATGATACATTTCAAATCGAAAGTGGTGCATACGAATGATAACATTGTAACGTATGTGATGTATTAACATGTACCACAGTCGCTTTGGCCGAAGGGAAAGGGTGAGTGAGTTACTTTGGTTTTTCCAGCAATGTCATGGCAGGGGACACCGGTAATGTGCTTCAGACATTGTACTCATGAGAGGAATCAACCCGCGTCTTCGGCGTGACGGGCGAACGCTTTAACCACTTGGCTACCCCACCGTCCCCATACCCGTAGGAATGTGTTGTCAAAACGATTGGACGATTATATAACTATATCATACGCATATGCCTATGAATACCTCCCAAATGATATACAAGATGTGTATGAAAAGCTTAGGTATGCTGTCCCAACGGTGGGGCCATCACACTTGACTGACTGACTGAGTTTGGTTTTACGCCGCTTTTAGCAATATTCCAGCAACATTACGGCGGGGGACACCAGAAATGGGCTTCACACATTGTGCCCATGTGGGGATTCGAACCCGGGTCATTGGCGTGACGCACAAACACTTGAAAAGGCAAGTCAAGCATTCGCCACATCATATGACGATTTTGTTTTACAATATATCATCATTACATCCATGCATATATATCTTTTATGTTAGAGAATCCAACACGATATAACCGATCCCTGCTGTGTCTTAAGAACTTAAGACAAATGATGTTACATGCAAATAGTCTGTTGTAGCGGTTCTTGTGGAGATTTTCCTCTCTCGCTGCCGTCTCATATGTATGAGTGTTCCTCAGACCGGCCGGTATCATCTGAAAGAGAGCGGTAGTCATATAAATAGTATTACGTTTTTAAGCATAAACGATAAGTGTATACATTCTGCAGCAGCGCATGGCATCTTGACGTAATGCTACTTCCACTGGAAATTAGGGTCCATGCAGGAACCAAATGTACTGTAAGTCCCCATGGTCGCTAGTATGGTGATCTACCTTCAGTTGTTGGCAATCTATAGCCGTTTTATACATTGTATTGTCATTTAAAAGTAACATATTTTAGATTTTATTACTAGTCTTAAATTTTTCCCTGTTATAATCTAGTAGTTTTACTGTCCTTCGTCGACAGGTGTTTTATAATGTAATTGTGTTTATTGTTAATTTATAACTTTTTAAGTCACACTATGGCTGAAATATTGCCGATGTGACTATAAATTTGAACTCACTCACTCCACTGGAAATTTGTTTTTCCAGACTCCAGAGAATACAGATCCTACTACATTTGTTTGGTTGAGTCCAATCTGGGATTTATACCCACCACTGTCTGACAGAATGGATGAGATGGCTGACTTTGTGTGCTGGCGATTATGTGCCTTACTCTGAGAGTGTGGGTTCGAATCCCGGATTGGACTCAACCCATCAAAGGTACTAGAATCTGTATTTTACTGAGAAAGTGTAATCCTATATTTAACACGCGTTACGTTTGATCACTTTCTAAATGGCCTCGTGTATCCATAAGATGAATCTGGTAAGGTACTTGCCGCGTACTCCGTGGCGACGTTAGCATCCAGCTTCTCTCTGATGTAGCTGGGGAGATTCGCCACGCTAACAGCACTAGGGATGTGGCTCTGGAGGGATCCGTTAGTAGACGCAGATTTTTCCTCCGGGTAAGTAGGTAGTGCCACACTTTTGAACTCATTAAGATCAAACACTGTTGAGTTCGGCTGTTCGACTTCATCCATCTTAATTGCTTGATTCCTCACGGCAGCTGATTGATCATTCATGCATAACATGAATATCAAGTTCTCGTACAACTCTCAACCAACTATCAGTAGATGTTATATATTATGTACTTTTACGAGCCAATATGCACATGTTCACGGATATTAGCAACAACAGTTTGTCGTTGATGATGCCAATATGCCAATACCATTTTGTATGCTATACTTATGATTTTAGTTATATCAGGTCCCTACTCGTGCCCTTGGCACTCACTCACCCAAACTCATGCACACACGCACGCACTCACTCACTCACTCACCCACCCACCGATGATGCTCGCTCACACGCACGCACGCACGCTCGCACTCACTCACTCGACAACCAACACACTCACTCGGTATGTAATACATTGCTCGGTTACCTCTGGCTTCTGCATCCTTTGGGTTATACCTTTTTTTAATTCCATTTCTGAAAAGTATAGAGATCGGTAATGCATACACAAGTGCTCCAAATGACTAACAGTTTTGGGTGAACCCTTGTGTCAATATTTACAGACAAATTAGAATACGATAAATACGAATTTTAATGACACTCGTGAAATTGAAACATCGGTGTCATATTAACTTGTCTTTGCCTTGTGACAAAACAAAATGTGAATACGACGTGATGGTGTTATCAGTAAACACAGATGGGTTTACCTGCAGACAACTGCCACTACGACGATAATCAGCAGCAGCACGACCACTCCCACTACTGCAGCAATCGTCGTCCCTGAGATAGACATAATCTTTTAATAACGTGAGCTCGGTATCCAACTTTTATTTACCAAACTGGAAGTTCTTGAGGGAGGAAGGCAACTGAGTGGCATGAAACAACTATGATATCATTTACTTATCGCTCATATATCTTCCTCAATCTGCCTACCTCAGCAGTCTGTTGATTCCACTTGCATGGATGTAAATTGATCTGCTCGTTGAAATAATATTTTAAGCTGTTGGGATATTTTTTAAGTTACAAAAGTCCTCACGGAAATATAAAATGGTTTTTGGCGTTTATTTCGTAGTTTTGATCACAACTAAAGTTTCATTGTTAGATATTCTGTGACTATCGTTTTATATGTATATCACTCGCCTGTATCTGCACCAGCAGGTTGTGTGGTTGGTTTTGCATGCGACGTTGTTGATGTCTCTGTTGGAACTGGTGCAGCGGTGGAGGTAACAATGCTTGTTTGGGGTGATGTCGTGGGCTTGGTCGTTGTTATGGACGTGGTCGTTGTTGAGTCTACTGTACTGGACGTAACACCCGATGTCATCGGTGGCTGGGTGGACGATAAGGATGTTGTACTGTCGTCTATGCTGGTCCCCGATACTGTACTGGGTGTTGAGGATGCTATCGATGACGTAGTCACTGTTTTGTCTTGGATGTTGTTGGAGTAGTTGTGGAAGTAGACATCGTAGAGGACGTTACTATTGGGCTAGCTAAAGAAAACCAGAAATGTATTTCCATATGTTGTAAGAACCTTGAATTGGACGTAAAGATATCTTTAATACTACAAATGTATCTGAATTGAAACATAATTGCACCAAAACAGAAACGAAACGCTTCGCCGTTGATTTAAACATAAGGGTACCGTTCCTCAAAGCGATCGTAGCGCTAAGATGATCGTAACTCCTATACTTTAACATAGACTTACGATAGTCGTAGCGCTACGATCGCTTTGAGGAACGGGCCCCAGGGCCGTTGAAGATGTACAACCGCACAGAAGTTTGATGGATTTCCTCTAAAATATCTCCAGCGGAGGGCCATCAAAAATGTTGTACAATAACCTTGTCTTGAATGTCAGTGATGTACCGTCGTCCACTCAGATTTTGTGTGAACGTGAAACGGTCAATATTACAGTCATATGAGGGGGAACCTCACACCATAAAATGAACCCAAATATTACTTGCTCCAAGATACTCCGTTGTGCAAGTTTGAAGTGTTTCTGTGGTGTCAGTAACGAGCTCGATCATCAGTCATGAACGACGAAATCCACTTTCGTCTCACCAGTGGATCTTTCCCCCATGACGTCAAAATTCAGTGGCATCGAGCTTACACCAAGTTAGTCGTACTGCTTTGAGGTATGGGGATAACAACGTGCGTCTGATAGGTTGTCTGGCTCAATACCCCGCCGATGTTAGGTAAGTTTGGACCAATCTGATGGACAAACGATGATGTGGAAGCCACTCTGATTTAAACACGCCACTTGACAAAACGGGTAATGTCTTGGGATTCTGAGAAGGCCTGTATCATCCCTTGGAGTTGTAACTCGCGGTCGTCGTGAAAGCTGACGGAACATAACATCCTTAGTTTGATGATGTTTTCTGGCCAGTCAGCTGATGGCAACCAGAATCTATTGCCACGCCATGTTAGCATTCAGTATACCAATAACTTGCCATCTGTGAGAAGCTGTTGTCTGTTAAGGAGGCCTTATATTTGTTATCAACAATGACATCAATTCATTTTCCAAGTTGTCCAGGTGTACCAACAGTTTACTGAAACTTGATATTTGCTTAATGACAGGTACTGCGCGTGGTGCTCGCCTAAGATTGGAGCACGTGCATAACTAAAATCAATGACCGGTGAGTCAAAATACTCATTCAAACAAACATAATTATGATATGAATATACATGGCTATATGGGGGTTAAAAATCATGGGTGTTGCGGTACTTTTACCATGTGTATAGTTTAACGCGAACGAAACGTTACACCGTTACGCCTACGGTTACTGATTTAGACATTAGTTCCGTTGAAGATACAAAACTGCATATGAAGGTGAAGGTATTTCTAAACTTCTTGAATATCTTCAATAATATTTACAATTGCGTTACAGACATCAACACACTTCTATCGAAGCCAGACACATGATGGTGCAATGATTGGTCCGTATCAGATGATATACGCACACATCACAGCATCCTTGGCCTGTGCTATGCTTTATATTATGAATTATAATGGCATCGAAGAACAAAATGAGTAAGTGAGTTAGGGAGTTACTATTTATAGTTACATTAGCAGTATTTTAGCAATATCGTGAATAAAACAAGTTATAAATGCTAAAAAGTTAAATCATACAAACCTGTCGACACAGGACAGTAAAGGCAACCAGAATATCACAGAAACAGTATTCTAAAATTTGAGTTATAAGTAGAACAATACAAAACACAAACGGGCAATGGATCGCCTGAAACTGAATTTAGATCACCATACTAGGGACCATTGGGACGTACAGTACTTACAGATTTCACATGATCCCTTCAGCCGTTGGCGATTGTACTCATTTTTACTCATAGATTTAAATCAAAACTACACTACATTAAGAATAATTGTAGTCTGAACGTAGTTTTTTAAGAGTACCGTAATTTAACAATATTTCCACCTCGCAGAAACTCAGATGCACCATCCCCAATGTAGGTTGGCGATATATCTGGATATAGATGGTCCCCGTCACGGGTACATCACACTCCCAGGTTGTACTCTTTTTTCCAAATGTAGGAAGAGTTCGGGATGTGACAGATCCTGCCACCTATAGACACATATACGTCATCTTGTTGATCTGGAATATGTTTTGAGAAGAATGAAGAAAATACCTCACACTGAATACATATTCGGGTGTGTTGTAGCATTGCTGGTAACAGAATAGATTTCAAAGCTGACAAAATAACATTTTAGATGTCTCGTGTAAAGTATAACTTGTCCAAATTAGTACAATCTGTCAATCTAAGTGTGCATTCGTTATCTTGTGTTTATGATGACACCGTACCTTCCCAGAATATCTTGATCCTGGTGACTGTCCTGTTCTGTCCAAACTCCGCCTCCCATGCTGGGTATACGGACGAGACTGATGCACACGGCCCTGACGTCACACCATCAGTAACCCAGGATGCCTGCCCAGTGGTGGTGTAAGCATGGTTGTCCACAGATGTCAGATTGCTAATTGCTTCTCGTGCTATATTCACTGTAACAATAAACATAGTCATTATCTGTGGATAACCCATTTCAATATGGGCATTCAGGTAGCAATTACAAGAAGTATTGTCTGCAGAACCTAGCATATGTTGTTTCACTTCAGCTTGACTGATGCACACTGCCCTGACGTCACACCATCAGTAACCCAGGATGCCTGCCCGGTGGTGATGTAAGCATTGTTTTGCCCAGATGTAAAGTTACTTGCTGTTATATTCACTGTAATAATAAACAGTATCATTATCTGAGGTAAGGTGCATCACATTCCAATATGGGGATTCAGGTAGGAATTACTGTACGTACTGTATGTAGAATCCAGAACGTGTTCTTTCACTTGGTGTGTCATCTCGAGTTGCTTAAAACTTTAATATATGTTGCGTCACCTTACAGCACCAGTCTGTTGTTTTCTTCATCTCCATTAGATCGAAGAAATATTGTATCTTTTCCTGCATTCATTGTGTAACCCCTTTTGTTGAAAGACATCTTGTTAAATACTAAATACTAACTCTCCTATTTTCACTCTTGTGGTCAACAAGTAGTAAATGTCTATACGTGAAGTTAATGTAAAAAAAATAACCACAATGTAATGGCAACGCGATTCGAGTGTACATTAAGGTTTCTTGCGAATTATTGACAAAAGAGATTCCGTTGGCCGCGAAAAACAGGTGCAAATTTGTAATCACGACCTGCGTTACCTGTAGCATCAAATCAAAGCATCGACAATGACGTATAGTAACGGGAACCTGCTATCGGGGCACTCTGAAAGTGTAGGATACATTCAAGCGAGGAAATAAAACACATTACATATTAACACATTGAACAGGTAATTTTTGTATGTGAAATAGACACTTTTATGCCGCATTGATATCCTTTCCAACAATGACATGCTTCTTTTGGATGAACACATTTCTTCAGGCAAAACACAAACGACTTTTGCACCCGTCACCATGTGATCTATGTGATTGAATACTGCTCCTTCAGAATTGAAAGAGGTATTGTACGCCTGCTGAGAAATATCTCTGACAAAATACACTAATCGGACTTCCCCTTTGCAATAGCTCTCTTAATCCGTATACATGACCTGCATGATTCTAAACAATATAACCTCATAGTAAATGTAATTAGTAATGATGAGAAGTATTTTCTTCTTATGTGAGTGCATGCGAGTATAATATATATATTACATACGTGCACGTGAGATAGTACCAACAATACAATACAAACACAAAAAAGTCAGCAATATAAATTGGCCTTGATCATCTGCAGTGATTAACAAGAGTGAAAGCCTCGAAGTGACATAGTGCCAGTTATCATAGGGTTGGCCAAGTATACAATATAAAATGTATATTTAATTCATAGCATAAATATTCACTTCAAACTTCTGCTGTTGAAATGTCACGTGCAAAGATAAACTTTCTCTAATCCTGCTTGTTTCAATAAATACAATATCAATGGGAGATTTAAAATGGTTATTAATTGCGCAATTACAATTGACAGTAACTACAACCTGCAAGAATTTCGCACTCTGTCATTGTCTTTAACTCGTCCGTTTTTGAAGAACCCCCAAAACATATACACCACTTCCTTTACCTGCTGCACCAGATGGAGGCGTGGATGTTTCCGATGGGTGTGCTGTCGCTGTTGGTGGTGTTGTCATTGTGTTGGACGTTTGTGCAGTAGTGGACATAGTGACCCAGAACGCTGTACTCATTGTCGAGGATGCTAGTAGTGAAGTAGTCATTGTTGACGGAGACATTGTCTTGGATGTTGTTGGCATGGACGTTGTTGTAAAAGTAGACATTGATGAAGACGTTACTACCGCATCAGCTAAAGAAACACATACATGTCTTTCTATATTTCAACATAGCCTGAAATGAAGGTATTTCTGATGCTACAAAGGTATCTGATTTGGAAGTTCAAAAGTATTGGAACAAATACCAATAGCTTTCTCCAAACCGTAAGCGTAAGCCAAAGATATTGATTCAGACATCAGTTCCCTTGAAGATAAACAGTCAGATGGATTTCCTCTATAGATGATCGTATATATCTTCAATAATGTTAGGGACGGTGGGGTAGCCTAATGGTCAAAGCATCCGCTCGTCACACTAAAGACCTTGGTTCAGTTCCCCCACATGGTTACAATGTGTGACGACCTATTTCTGGTGTTCCCTGCCTTGATAGTGCTGTAATATTGCTCAAAGCCAGCTTCGTGGTTGTGTAAGCGCATTTTCCGTGAGTCAGACTAGATACTCCCAAATCAATGTGTTTTAGAGGTCTGTTTTGATTGGCTGGTATGTTCACAGTCTGCCGTAGCATGGCAGGAATACTGCTGTGCAGCGTCAGGCAAAATAATGCTATAGACAATAACATATATAAGTGTTCATTATATAGAATATTATTTCTATTACCGTATATTTCCACCTCGCAGAAACTCAGATGCACCATCCCCAATGTAGGTTGGCGATATATCTGGAGATGGTCCCCCGTCACGGGTACATCACACTCCAGGTTGTACTCTTTTTTTCCAAATGTAGGAAGAGTTCGGGATGTGACAGATCCTGCCACCTACAGACACATATACGTCATCTTGTTGATCTGGAATATGTTTTGAGAAGAATGAAGAAAATACCTCACACTGAATACATATTCGGGTGTGTTGTAGCATTGCTGGTAACAGAATAGATTTCAAAGCTGACAAAATAACATTTTAGATGTCTCATGTAAAGTATAACTTGTCCAAATTAGTACAATCTGTCAATCTAAGTGTGCATTCGTTATCTTGTGTTTATGATGACACCGTACCTTCCCAGAATATCTTGATCCTGGTGACTGTCCTGTTCTGTCCAAACTCCGCCTCCCATGCTGGGTATACGGACGAGACTGATGCACACTGCCCTGACGTCACACCATCAGTAACCCAGGATGCCTGCCCGGTGGTGATGTAAGCATTGTTTTGCCCAGATGTAAAGTTACTCGCTGTTATATTCACTGTAATAATAAACAGTATCATTATCTGAGGTACAGTGCATCACATTTCAATATGGGGATTCAGGTAGGAATAACTGTACGTACTGTATATAGAATCCAGAACGTGTTCTTTCACTTGGTGTGTCATCTCGAGTTGCTTAAAACTTTAATATATGTTGCGTCACCTTACAGCACCAGTCTGTTGTTTTCTTCATCTCCATTAGATCGAAGAAATATTGTATCTTTTCCTGCATTCATTGTGTAACCCCTTTTGTTGAAAAACATCTTGTTGAATACTAAATACTAACTCTCCTATTTTCACTCTTGTGGTCAACACGTAGTAAATGTCTATACGTAAACTTAATGTGAAAAAATAAACCCTAATGTAATGGCAACGCGATTCGAGTGTACATTAAGGTTTCTTGCGAATCATTGACAAAAGAGATTCCGTTGGCGGCGAAAAACAGGTGCAAATTTGTAATCACGACCTGCGTTACCTGCAGCATCAAATCAAAGCATCGATATCAACGTTACCTGCGGTACAGTTCTGGGGACAGTTGGAGTCTTGACCGGACGCTGTAACAAACATAGGTTTTGAGTTAATATAAATATCGACTGATAAAATGATTAATATTATGGTCATTCTTAGAAACATTTGCTTTCAGGGCACTAGTCTGTGAACCGAATGCAATTGTCACTGCGTATGTTTGTCAAGAATTATTTGTGTATGCTCATGTTTCAGATTATAGGAATGTAGGTATTTCATCATTGACACCATATTTATGTGTGAGTAACAGAAGCATGTATCTCACCTTGCAGGCTCCAGGCAAGCAACAGAATCAGGTAAGCAATGGTGTTCTGGGTAACCATGGTTCCACATTTGTTGAGTATGACGTGCAATGAATTCATCCTTGGAGACCATGCCATTAAATTAAATTCATTAAGGCGGGGGCGAGATCAGAAATGACACTACAACCTCACCAGTGAAGCTCACTCCTTCAACTGGTAAATATATGTGAGTGAAACATAGTCACACATCAATCAGAAGATATATTTTGCTATGTACTGTTCAGTACAATACATCATGTGTACTACAAAGGGTACAGTAAGCCAGGTCGTCTGTATGCTGTGGTATGGTATATAAATACAATAATGGCCTATTTCAGAAAAATGAATATTGACAGAGTGCTCACACCTGAGGTGATCCCTGCTTGATGGAGATTCATAAACACATGATTGTGATGCAGTCGGACTATAAAATGGAGTATGTCGCTTTTGTACAATTATTTGTTAACTGAATGAGATACGATTGATATCTGAATAATCGTCATACGTGTCTACAGGAAAATGCATGTAGTTCTAATGTGCGATAACTTTCCTCGTGATAAGTAATGTTCTCCTCAAAACAAATTCGGGGAACTTTAGTTTTAATTAACGATTGAAAAAATTGGGAGATACAGCGGAGTCAATCAATGTTGATATGATGATTATGGATGTTTTGAGGGTGCATCACCGCTTGCACTTCCTTATGACCAATGTTTGTACAGTAATCGTTCTTGAAAGATGACTGGTGTATGACGTGAAATTTGCATGTGCACCGGCTTGAAACAAACACTAACAACTTTGTGATGCAAGATGACTCAAAATTAATGGTCTGCAGTGATTTATCGTCCTTCTTGAAAACCGTCGAATTCAAGAATGACACTCCATAAACGTGTATGGGGATACTATGATGTGTGCGTGCATCCCATGCGTTGTGTCTAGCGGTGATGATAAGGAAAACTGTGGTGCAATCGTAACGCTTATACTTTCTATCCAAATTGACAGTTTATGTTCCCCTACCTTTTTAAAGAGTATATTGAAGAGTATATGAAGAGATATTGTCTCAAAAGGTATCATCTGCAAAGAGGTGAGGCATCACTACATCTTTGGGCATCTCCCATATCTGCCACAGCAGCTACTGCAACAACTGATAACATCCCAGAGACTACTCAATACATATCAGAATAGGACACTGACTAGCATGATAATAACCAGTCTCGATTATCAAACGATTGATATCTGAATAATTGTCCTTCGTGTTTACTGGAAAATGTGTGTAGGTCTACAATGTGATAACGTTCCTCATGATAAGCAATATGTGTCACGGTTGTTGTCACAAACGTTATGATCTGCAATGAGGTTTCACTATATTTTTGGGCATCTCCCATCAATGGCTCAACTGCCACAGTAGCTACTGTAACAACTAATAACCTCCCAGTGGCTGCTCAATACTATCAGGATAGGACACTGACTAACATGGTACAGCAGGGCGTTGTTTGCAGGTCACAAATCAGTATTCACCTCCTCACAATGAACGTACACAGGATGATGAGCGTGAGACGTCAATGCCTGACAATAACCCGTCTCGATTATCAAACAAAACATATTCTACTGGGTGTAAACAGGAACGTAAAGGTAACAAATTTGGGTAAATCACTGAGAATCAGTATAGGCATCAGGATTTCACGAATAGCACAGGCTAATCTAACAATGTGACAGGTTTTTCCGTGTTGTTGCAACTGTTACACTTCACTTGACTTTTTGTGTCAGAGCTACCCAACCCTGATATGATAACGGTGTAGCCTGGACTACCCCTTACTTGGCAATGTAAGAGAGCGTGAGCTTCAGAGCTATACACTCCCGGATAAATTCGAAATGTGTTGTTGCTGGTGCGTGTGTGTGTGTCGTGTGTGGACTGTTTCGATGCCGTTTTAGAGGTATTTATACATGTACAAAATAGCCACAAAGTATATTTAGGAGGTATTTTACCTATTCCAACTATGGTTTCATATACATCTTCAGGCGTCATTGCTTAAAATTTCTGACTGTTGGTAAGGTCGACATTGAAAGACTTCGCCTGGGTGAAATATTGTTTTGTGACGACCGCATTTATTTGTAGTCCTTTGAAAAGGTGTGATACATATATACATGCATGATGCACACCTTTTAAAAAACGATTTCGCTGTATTTAAAGTATCTGAATGGTCTTGCCAAAGTGTTACGGTCACAGTTTTGTTACTGGTATCAAACAAACACTTATGACAATATGTATAGGAAAACAGTCACCATTGATGATCAAAGGATACACAGCTGTTTATCTGAAGTGTGTAAAAGTCACCAAATACTGGTATGAGGCTACGATTTGCAGGGTCAAAAGTAGAATTTTTTTGGCTGAAGGGCTAAAAGGTACGGTAAACGAAACCGTTTAATTATTTGTGTATTTTTCTGGATATTCCAACTATGAAAAGCGTAAGGCTAAATTGTGAAATGAGTAAATAATCACACAGATCAGTGGAGTTTACACAAGTTATAATGGGCCAAAAGGAATTAGGTTTACACTCACGAAAGGGAATACCATAGTAAAATCCACAGAAGATGAGACTCTTTATATTTATTCATTTAACAACTTTCAGAAGCCGGTGTGATGAACAGGTACTTTTTATGGACAAGTTCTTTATTGCAATGGAGGCATCGTTTCGATGTAGATGCTAACACCGTTATCAAGCAAGTGATATACAACATTATGGACGAGGCGAATATATACATGGACGATACTGGAGTTATACAATTATTCTTTTCATGAAACGCTGAATACACATGCAACATATCTTTTTGAAGAATGTCAGTTACATTTTCGTTAATTGGTGCCGTGTAGAAACGCAACCATTCGAAGCTTTTGAAGCTTTATACAGTATTATACATATATTAAGCAGAATTAACGTGAACATTGTGACAGCTATGGGCAGAGTTAATGACTTTTAAAGGTAAAAAAGCGGTGCGGCAGTCTGCAACATGGTGTCCTTCATGAGGCTAGTCTTGCAGTCACGTTGCAATGGCTGTTGTACCGGAATATGGAAATTAGCCTCTACGTCACGTCCAGGTTCACCTACTGACTATCAGGTGTTTTGAACACTGAGCTTTTACGTTGATATAATGACTTGGTGATTGTCACAGAGTGCTGGTAGATGAACTAGCGCTTGGAAGACAAAACCATTCCACTTATGAAAACATATGTCAATCAGTTTATGTGTTCGAAAACGTGGTCACACAATTTTTATTTGGCCATCCACCTTAACCCGCGCCTATATGAGGAAAGTACTAGAATATGATTGTCTACACGGAAGATACTGCAACATTAATAGCTTCATGCGAGTTATGTTTCACCTGAATGACAGCAGGGATCAATCAAGTGCAGATATTTAAGGTATTTTCGTACAAACTAAAGTGATTAGTACTAACATACATGTTTGATTCTCCCGCTGCTTCCCCGATGTCTTGATTATTAGAACCAACGTTGACATAACATGACGTGCCGGTTGACACATTCTGACCATTAACGTATTCATTATTGACATATGTGTATTCGTTTCCCCTTATGTTCTCACAACTGGTAGAAGCTGTCGTGTTAACATAAATGGATCCTTGATCTGACCACCCCCTTGGTGTTCCGTGGCTTTGTATGCTCTGGTACTGAGTATGATCGAAGGGTTCCGCTACACACAGTTCATAAGATGGCATGACTGCTTCTTCAGCGTCCCTGGCTTGAGGGTCTTTTTCCTTTCTGCCTCCTGGAACATCGAATTATGAATATGATATTACAATGGTGCTTCCTAACAATATTCAAAATTTAGAAAAAAGTGATAATTGAACTGGGTGTAGCGAGTGATATAGCGAGAGTGAATCGGATTGTGAAAATAACTGACATTGTAAAGTTAGTAAATCAAGCTAGATAGCATAAATCAAGCGTGTATGTAAAAACAATTCAAGTAAAACATGAAATTATGTTTTTTGTCAAAAGTGTTGTTTTCCGGGACAAGTACTGTAACGAATCCATGTATGCATGCTTCCCACGAACGGAACATTAATAACATTAAAATATTCTCTGGTCCCCTGTTTAATGGAGATAGTCCGACCTGCCGTTTGTGTCATTTGACATCCTGGGTCATGCATATGTGGAGTAGCTCAGGTCAAGCTGAACATGCTGTACTCATGTCATTAATATTCTACATCTT